TCCAACATCTTGTATGAAACAGATGGGGTAGGGAAAACAGGGATTATATTGTGATATTTGATTTCAGAAATGTTCTGTGGGGTTCCTGTATTTTCTGAGGAGACTGGGAGCATGTGACTAGACTGAATATGGGCCTTAAGAAGCCAGATCTACCTATTACTTTTATCACTTACGTATTTTGACGACCCAGAATTGCTTTTCCTTTTTCCCCTGCTTGTTTGGGTTACACTTGTTCAGCCTGCCTTCAGTGTGTATGTTTACTGCCCTACATTCAAGGTGATCTCTTCCTAGTAATTGCTTTAATGTCAGTTTCTAAGAATATTCCATCGATCCAAATTGTTTGCAATAATAAGAACAGAGAGCAAATGCATAAAATGAGAACACAGATTAGGTGGATTTCTTTTTAAATTAAATGAGTGGAAAATATTTACCTCCTTTCTGGGCCTCTACAGGTGTCCTTGTCCTGTCTCCCATCAGCACCCCAGTATCTTTTTACCATTTTGTTTGTTTAGCTGGTTCCTATTGCAATCTGGATAGGAACTGTGAAATCTTTCCCTCCCTCTCAAGCATTTACCGGATTCATTGTTCTTCAGCTGTAAAAGCTGCTGCTGAATTCCTGTTTGTCTTCATCTTCTATAAACATTTATTTCTGGGAGCCTTCAAGCAATGTTTTTCTTTAATGTACATTTCAAATGCCATTGTCTTCTGCTTAATGACCTGCCGGAGGCCCAGTTACACTCTCTCCTTTTTCTAATCATCATGTTTGGGAGTATTCTGATATGAGGGTGTGCAGGTCAGCCAGTGTCAGTAATCTTGTCCCATGCTTTGAACATTTGGAGTTCATCCTCAAAGTGCTTTGGGGAAATGTACTTTGCTCACTAGAAGCTTAATTTGGCCTATTTAAATCTGCAACTGTCCTCACTTGTGCAGTCTGAAATGCCATGGCTACATTATCAGCACTTCAGAAATACAGATTTAATCCTCCCTCAGAGCTAAAATGATTCCTCAGTATTAAACCTATCATGTTCAGTGGTAGTGATAGTTTTGATATATTGAGGATGTTCTGAATAACAGTATTTATAAGAGAGAGCTCAATATATTTTATCAGACCACCAGACACAGCTGGGAAAAAAAGAGTTGCTTTAAGGAAGAGAAGTGCTTCTTCAGCTTCTGAAAGTTTGTTACAACAATGGACTGGTTGAAAAAACCCAAAATATTCCTTGTCTCTAAAAACCCATTTGTGTTATGCTTTGAAAAAGGTTAGTGACTTTCTTCTGAGGACATTATAATCTGTTACTCCACTCAAATAATTGTTCTAACTGAAAGTGGAGCTTGCCTGAATTAATCATATTAAGAGGGGAGAATGTTTTTACCTCTATATGGATTCAAATCAAATATCAGAGTTGTTGTGAATGTTTCATTAGCATCATGTTCCCTAAATTTGTGTCTGATTCAGTTATTTGGTTGCTGTTTCAAGACGCTTTTCAGAAGATGCCTGAAAGAACTTGAAGAAAAGCAGTGTGTGGTGTGCTAGCACAGATGGTGGGCTGTGGGGGTCCAGAGGTGAGAACTTCTTTCTTCTCTTTCACCTGCACAGGGATCTGCATTTTAAGCCATGGCATGAGGGCTGCTCTTTTATTTAGGGAGTTATTGCTGTGTTTCCACAGTCTGTGTGAGCAGTGCTACTTTGGAGATAGCTGCTAGTCAGGTGCAAAGAAAGAGAGACAAGCCAGTTTTCCTGTTGCAGAAATTCTACTGTGCTGCAGCGCTTTCTTTCTTCCCATCTCATTCACCTTATGTTGCTGCTGTAACTGGAAGAATAAAGCATCCTTCAGCTGCACCTCTTTGTTGCCCCCTCCCAAAAAAAGATTGGGAAAAAAATGCTGGATTCATTCTGCCATCCTTTCCTGCCAAGATTAGTGGATAGTGTGTGCTGAAAGATAGTTAGGAGCAAAGCAAATGGGAAACCTGCAGCTAAATATTGGTTAGACACCCATCACTTGGTATCAGAATACAATTGAATATTGGACCCACTATCTAAACTCATCCAGTACAAATCTCTGACTGTGCTGAAATGTGATGTTTGGGGTGGATTAATGATTCCCTCTGTTAGAAGTTCCTAAATTAAAAATATGAGCAGCCTTTCTATAATCAGGAAACCAGGAAATACAGGCTAATTGCCAGAACGGTTTCAAAGGGAAGAATTTGATTGCCCATCAAAATAAGGGGACTAAAGAAGCTGATAGAAACAATAGAGGACCTCAGCCTCCTTGTAAGACTTGCTTTGAAAATATCTAATAATTAAAGATGAGTGAGTGACTTGTAATTGCTCATTTATGATGCCTCTTCTAGATCTGCTTTTTCCTGTGAAGCTTCATTTGGACCTAAATGAATTAGATGACTAATTAAAGGAAGGTCTTTGATTTGAGATCAGGAAAGCATGTTTGCATGGAGGCTACACCCTCTTCTTATCTGACAGCATCTTTGGATATTAGCGGCACATAATAATTAGGTGTGTCAAGTTACGAGTTGATTCACCTTCTTTAAGTGGTCCGAGAGGAAAGGGTGGAGGATGACTGTTCTCCAGAGGAGGCTGAAGACAGCAAGATGCATTATGTATCCTCAATTCCTGGTGCTTCCTCAGAATACGTAACTGCTAATATTTAAGTTCTTGGGCTCTGCAACATCCCTGAAGTGCAGATAGGAAATAAAAGTTAGTATTCTGAGCAGAAACACAGCCTGTGCATGAAAGTAATGTTAGCTGTGTTGGGGAAGTAGTCCAAAATCAGTTCATTTTATAAAGGTAAAAAGAAAATCTTTGGCATGCCAGTCATTGCAGCACTTGCATCCCTTGCACATGTTTTGTACAGTTTACTGTGTGTTTAAGCAAGTGTAAACACTTGGTCCCTCCTGAGAGGCCTGATAAAAGTAATGCGTGCACTTTTGAATATGGAGCCCCAAACACCACAAGCTTTATGAATTATTTGTTCTATGGGGGGATTTTCCAGAGTTGCTAACTACTGTCAATCCAGCATTGAATTCATGATTGAAGCTAGCAATGTTTTTTAGCTCCAATTTTGGATTACAATCCAGCTATGTGTGGGTGCAAGTGCATCCTGTAAAGAAATTGCTATTGATTATAAAGCAGACTGAAAATACAGAGTTATGCCCATGGTTCCCTAGATTGTGAATAGCATCCAGAAGTGGCTAACCTTTCTTAGGATGTTTTAGCGACTTTTTGGTACACGTCAAATTGACAGCCCTAGCACAGAACTTTGTCTGGAGTCCTGTGGTTGGGCCAGTCCTTCATGGTGGTCTTCATACACCTGATGTGATGTCAGCAGCTCTGGTACTAGAGAAAGAGTAGGAGCTGCAAGTGTGAAGGAGGGATGATGGCAAGCTCCTACCTACAAGGTAGGAGAGCTTTGTTTCTTAAGAAGAGTGTTCTGCAAATAGGAGAATGAACAAATAAGAATAATTATTTTTCTCAGTTCTCAGTCTGAAGTAACTTGACTGAAATGAGGGATGTGAAAGAAAGAAAATTGATTTAGGAATGTGTACTACTAATTTCTATTTGTTTTATTTGCTTTTACAAGGACTCTGATGCTAGAAATAGACACTCCAACCCACGTTTCCCTTGGAGGAAGATTATTTTTTAATTTTTTTAATGAAAACTTCCACAATATCATCATAACTTAATAAAAAAATAAGTAAAACCTTAAAAACTTCATCACTGGAAGAAGATGGTTACACATGGAAAAAATTCACAGGCACTTTTACTGATGTTTTGAATCTGTCATCATGGCTAGGCTTCGTGAACGAAGATTTAGGAAGGGCTCTATCCACATTTGTTACAAGCACGCTGGTGGCTAATGAGGCCAATACGAGATAGACAAAGCCGATTGCAAAAGGCACAGCAGAAAGACTCCTTAGGTGGTATATTCTGCAAGGCACAATTCTTTCTGCGTTGTCTTTTCTCCTCCAGAGTGATCCTGCGTGCTTTCTCAAAAGCATCAGCTGCGTTATAGATGGTGTGTCTCCAGACCTCCCGATTGGAGGCCAGAGTAGACCAGTTATGATGATCAATATGGCCAAGGCTGAGATGTTGTTTTAGGGAGTCCTCGTATCTTCTCTTCGGGGCTCCTCTCTTGCGGCAGCCGGTGGCAAGTTCACCATAAAGCAAGATCTTAGGGAGGCGGTGGTCCTTCATCCTGGAGGCGTGCCCTGCCCAATGCAGCTGTGTTCTCAGCAACATGGCCTCAATACTTGTGATTGCTGCTTGTTCTAGAATAGATGTATTGGTCACATAATCTGACCAGGGGATGTTTAGGATTGAATCTGTAATGACTGTAAAATGAGCAAATGGTGTAGGATGAAGCCATGTGTCTAGGGTATCAGAACTGTTGCAATTAAATGAGAAGATCAGACCCCAGAAGTGAATCTAAGTCCAACGATATCCTCTACATGAGGTCTGGGTTCAGTCTTCAGATAATTCAGTGTGATGATAAGGCATAGGCACTACTTCTCAGACATAAAGCAGAGACAGGGTGACTTCTAGTGAGTTTCTTCCTGCACCCAAAGCAAGACTATGAGCTTCTTTATCTTATTTTTAAAATGTTAACCTCAAACACAGTAAAGGAACTCTGAAAGCTGGCACAGAAATAATTGTCAAGAAGCTTTGTCAGTATTAAGGCCATTTGTACTGAGAAGGTGGTACTAAATGAAAATTGCAATTCATTGTCAAATGGAGGGAGGGGAAGATGGGACTCAACCTTCCCTCATCCTCTAACTTGCCTTAGGAGATTTTAGAACTTGTTCCATACCTGGCTGAGATGTTGATGGAAAACTTGTGTTCCCAGCTCCAGGTAATGGGGTATGTCTGGGAACTCTTATCTAAGGAAGGCAAAAGTATCTCAGAAGGTATCCAGCTAAATATCAGCTGTGTTGTGTTCTAAACTTGTGATGCTTTTGTTTTCAGCCTCCTAGCCTCACCTGAAATCTTCCTATATAAATTTTGTTTTGTCTGGAAGATCACTTGGATTCTTGGGGCGATATCAACCACCTTCAGAGGCTGCAGATCTGGAAAAAAGAAAAAGGAAAGGGTGTATTCAGACACCTCTATGAGAAGGCCACGGTCAGGTGAGCGTGGGAAATGCAAGACCTCTGAGGCAGTTTGGGATCACAGCACAAAGAACAACGCTGGGGTAGACAAATAACAAATGCCTCTCCTGCAAGGGACGGACAGGAGAGTGACTACCCATTGCTCTGGGGAAAACCCTAAGCCACCACCTGAGGGGCTTTGGACAAGGAAGGGAGTTCAAAGTATTGGGGTAAGTAGGGGAGGGACAGGAAAGTCCATGATGATGAGGTAGGAAATACAACTTGGTTTTACAGGGTATTCTGTGATAATGAATGCCTTCTTTGAGGGCACTGCATTATCCTTATCTGGTTTCGGCAAAAACATATCAGTGCTGGTTAGTGAGTAAATATGTTTTATGGTTGCTGTAGGTTCAGTTTGGTTTTGTCCTTCCTGAGAAGGACACAACTATCTGGACATGCAGCTATCAAGCTGCATTTCACAAAAAATACTTGTACATGTGTATGTAGGCATAGGTGTAGTAAAAAGAATCTGGTTCACATTCAAAAAAATAAGCTGTTTTGTTGTGAATACTGTTTCTATTTACTTTCCAGATATAAGTTGTATACCCCAAGAATAATAGGAAAACTGGGTCCTCAAATTATCATTGTGTGATCTTAAAAATTACTGTTTTTCTTTCCTAAATGCAATTGAAATGTGAGGTTTTTATCTGCAAATGAAACAGTTTTGTGTAATACCCACTCTCTCAAGCACAAATAGAAGTTATTAGAATACAGGTCTACAGTTGACTGTTATATTCCAAGGGGTCAGTCTTCATTTCTGATGTAAACTGATCTGAGAACAGGTTGTCACCACAGTGTAGCCCTGTCCTCCTTCCCCTGCACTGGCTATATGTTCTTACCCTGTAGCTAGATGCTCACAGCTTCTGAAGGCCAGACCAGAAAGACGATCAACAAATTCATCAAGCTAATATCTAATTGTCCAGTTTGAGATGACCTCCTCTGAGCTCAACTTCATCTTTGTAAAAAAACAGTGGTTTAGAACTGCTTTCCTACTCTGATAACAGTGTTTGCTACTGCACTAATGAAATTAATAATGAGATTTGATTATTTATACTTTTCTGCAATTTAATATTTTTCTAAGATTAAAATAATGTGAGCAGGTTTTTCTTCGGAAGTCAGGCATTACCTCTCATGGCAAAACAACTCCTGAAATGTACTTAATGCATTTAAAACTTCCTTAACCAGGCTAGATGAACCATTAAATAATATCAATAGTTCTTGTTTACAATTTCTCAAGTTCTGTGTTCTCACTTGCTATAATGAGTGCTAGTATAATAAACAGCTTTATACTTTGGTTAAAACTCACCACTGGAACTCATAGATCAGAAAAGAATGTACAAAAAGATAAAACTTCCTTGTAACAGACTGTAACTGCTTCTGGGCTAGGAGGTGGTTAATAACATGATATTAACTCAGTCCTGCAGGCACTCCCATTCAAAGCAAGTGTGCTGCTTTGAAATACAAAATAGTACTGTATTTTGGACACAGAGAAAGGCTGAAAAGGCTCCCAAGTGCTGGCTTGTATCCCCGGGGATGAAGAAAACGTGGTGTACTTAGTGGCACAGACTCAATCACTCCATCTCCTCCCTCTCTCCAAGCTGGTCATGTTCTCTCTCCAGCTCTCCAATCTGAGCCCAATCTAGACCCTGTCCCTTGTGCACTCTGGTTGATTTGTCATCTCCTCTGTTCTCTTTAAGAATCTCCTCCAGGCAATCCCAGATGCCACCCTTGAGCTCTCTATGAAAATCACTATCCAAGCTCTTTGAGCCTCCTACATATAAACCTGTCTCCCTTCTCAGACACTTGCCTCCTTTCTGGTCCTCTACAGGTGTCCTTGTCCTGTCTCCCATCAGCGCCCCAATATCTTTTTACCATTTTGTTTGTTTAGCTGGTTCCTATCGCAGTCTGGATAGGAACTGTGAAATCTTTCCCTCCCTCTCAAGCATAATTTCTTACCACAGTCTGCCTCTCCATGCTAAACTTTCCTGTTTCCTGTCTCTGTCTCACACTCTTTACCAGCCTTACCAGTACTCCTCAGATTTGTCTCCCTTCTTGCTCATCCTAGACAATTCATCAGTTTCTAAACCCTAACCTCCTTACCTAGCCAACCCTGATGACCAGTTACGGCTGCAACTCCTCACTATTAGATAATTGATTCATGCCAGACTAAATCTGTTTCCTCTCCCAATCTGTTGTTTCTACACAACTCAATGTTTAAGTTAAATGGCACTCCTGGTGGTGGGCAGTGTCACTGAAGCCACCACAGACACTGGAGACCAGGCTTCCACATTCCTATCTCCAGTGCCATTTCCACCTGCTGCTGCTCCTGCCACTCTGGGCTGGTGCAGGCTTTGCAATGCTGGAGCACAGAGTCTAAGAGCTGTGCTGAGATAAAGACAGCTCAGATGACTTTATGTGTAAAATCCATTATTACTTCTTATTGTTGGTGTTTTTAAGAGCTATTATGTTGTTTTGCTCCCTTTGATAGTGCTTATGGTTCCTGTAAGCATAGCAATCATCTCATCTAATGCAGATACTATAAAGCTTCAAAAATAGGCCACACTGGGTTCAAATGTGATGATGAAAAGCTAGCTGGAGTTGTCAGTAGAGACTTTGACACCTCTTTGAGAAGGACCAAGAGTTGTCTCACAATGGACATAGCTTCTTATTTCCATGCTTATAACTCTCAAAGCATGGCACTTGACAGCTATCTCTGTAAGTAACCTATGGGTGTGCTTCTCAAGGAATTGTCTGAAAACATAAAAAGCCTGTAACAGGAACTCGTAAGTCAAAATGCAGCCATGTTAAGCCTGCATGTGTAAAACTTGTGCTGCTGCTTGTTTACTTGTCTTTGTCACATAGCATACCATTTCTTAAATAATACATTATCATGTCACTTTTTTTCTGCGGCTTTTTGGAGTGGGAGTTGATGGTCCTTAAGGATCCCTCTGAATTTGAGATATTCTATGATTCTGTGAAACTGAAGTGCATATTTTAAGACTGAACACAATTGAACTCAGCTCTATAATAGCTTTGGATTAATTTTTTATACTGTATATCAAGTTTTAGGTAAGTCACACACAAAAGCAGTCGTCAAAACACTGGAGAAGCTCTCTAACACAAGATGCTATTTTTGTTTTGTGAATGAGTCTAACTTTAAAAAAGAATCATTAGGCTTTCTCTACCCTTAACACTTCAGTGGTATGGAAATTGTAGCTATAATTTGCTTGCACTTCTAGGTGGAATTTTTGAAGATGAAGAGAAAGAAATCAAGGTCAAAGACTTGTAGGATGCTAATAGAAGGTGGAGAAGAGTTACAGGACTTGGAAAGAAGAACACCTTTTATGAGAACTGTAGGAGAATTACAAAAAAAGAAAGCAGAATGTTGGCAGTGAAGGGAAAGGAAGGTAACATAACTAAGCATAAGAGTTCAGGTGCCTGTGTCAGAGGGAGGTGGGAATGCACCTGGGCTGAGGTCATTGCAAACTTTGGCAAGACAGGTTTCATAAAATTAAATGTTGCATTACATCTGAATGTCACCTAGCATGAGGTAGGGTGTGGCCCAGTACCTTTTGTTTAGTAAGTGTAGACATAACAGAAACAAGTTTGAGAAATCCTGCTTCTGGGGTAGCAACTTTTCACAAACCTGGGGCTGCAGCACTGGCACCAGTGTGGGAATCCCCCTTACAAATCCTTTGCTTGCTCATCCATCACAGGAATTAAAGTGGCTGGCTGCACCACTGCATATGGTGGGGATTTTGGTCTCTCTCACTACAGCTTCTGGAGGTGGACGGTCCTTGGCAGGTGCTGTGCAGGGGAGCCAGGGCCTGCTCTGGGCTGTGCCGGTGGGTGCAGAACTGCAGCACCTGTGGGCCTCCAGCCCCACCACTCTCCTGCATGGGGACAGGGGAGGCACCTTGCACACCCTTCATCTATGCATAACCTGGCACTTGTTGTTACTATAACAACCCTTTTGATTTATTTATGTAAATACTTTCCGTAAAGAACAAAGATTAAAAAAGCAAATACATTAAAAAAAAAAGATGCTTGGTTGTTGTCTGTGGTTTCACAATAATCCATTGTTAGGCAAAGGGGCTGCATTATCTCTATGGCAAACATTGATTTGCTGTTTCTGGTAGGAATATGTAGTCTTTTGGTGCACCTCTGGTGACATTATAACTGAGGGATGGTGAAAGAGCCGAGTGTGAACAAGATTTGTGTGATTCAGCTGTTTGCACAAAGGGAACTAAGTCTGTTGATCATCAGGCAGTGTAGCAGATGTCAGATGGTCACAGGTGATGCAGTTTCAAATGTAAATACACGGTGGAGATGAATTAAAACTTTACCAGCTGTGGGAAAAGTGTGTTAGTACAGATACTGATTTTCAGCCACTGCTGTTGTAGTCTTCAATGTAAATACATGACCAAGCTTAATAAAAATTTTACTTGACGTGGGAAAGGTCTGGTAGCAGGAATGTGCAAGGTAAACAATGGAAGAGAAACCATAGAATAAAACAAATAGACATAGAAATTATTTTTTAATTTTTGCAATGGTTTTTCTTTCACATTATAGCATAATTTATATTTCTTATCTGTGAATGTCTATTTGCAATTTAAAGCCATTTAAATTTATCTTCTAATTATAAGCATACTAGAATTAATAAAGAAAGTGAAAAATGGATTTTTGCATATATTTGACCATAGCATTCAGTTTTGAAGTAAAAAATTATCTTGGAAAAATTACTTGCTCTGCCCTTAAATTCTTTTCTTTTTAACTTTTTTTTTTCAGTTTGGCAGGGTGGCAGACACAATTTTAAGTATGCTCAAACCAGAACTTGGTTAGTACCAGATATTTAATTTCATTGCATGAGGAAAAATATTCAAGATATTAATGATGGACAGAGGGGCTTGGAATGCATTTCAGGTTTTTGACCGAGGATCATTTACCTGGAAACAGTTAATTCACTTACTGGCTTTTTC